ATTTTATTTGTTTTTTATCTTATATTTTGGAAATGTACATCCAGTTGTTTTTTTCCTTTAATTTTTTTAGGGGCCTCCAAGAGAGTGGGGCCCTAAGCTATAGCTTGTTTAGCTTATACATAAATCCGGCACTGGGTGGGAAAGTTGACAGAGAAGAGCCAAAAGTTTCTCATCTCTCACTGCACTGATAGAGGGGCCCTGTTCTACACTCCTCTGCCACAGCCTGACGCAATGGCTCCTGCCTGGTGACAGTCAAAGGAGGGAGGAGCCAAACACGCCCACAGTCCATGCACAACCCTCAAGCTATTGGGAAGAAAAGCTGGATATAAATGGAACTTGTGGAGCACTGCAAGCCTTGACTGTAATGTAACATGGAGCACTGCACGTGTGCTGACAGTTAAATGTGCCACATAACACAAGGGTTCACATAACAGGCTTGGCACATGCCAAAGCAGGCCAAAAGTTAGCGGGGGGGGAGACCCTCTTCCTGTTGCTGTCTGAAATTGTCCTGAGAATAGGCGGTCAATTGTCACTTAGGCTGAAAGCCCTTGCATTTGTTAAAATTTATTTTTCCTTCTGAAATCCTTGATACTATTTGGCGCCAATTCTTATATTCACAGAATACTCTTTAACGGGTCTATGGCATTTTATTAGCCTTTAAAAGTTTTAACAGAGTATGTGTCTAATTTCTTAATGTGTTCCTATTTGTTTCCTTTTTGGTTATTTTTGGTACGAAGTTGTAAGTTGGTGGTGTTGGATTTTATAGCCTTGGCACTGTCATGGTTCCGCAACCTTCCACCCCGTAGTGGAAGCTATGTCAAAACTTCCATTATAAGCTCTTGTTTTCAGGGGTTTATGACTTGGGCATACAGCCGAATCCCTAAATATATGCTTTCCTAGCTGCTGCTGCTGCTATTATTATTACTATTACTATTACTATTACTATTATTATTATTCTTACAAAATTAAATTTATAATCAAGTAATTTAGCTTTTTCATATATAAAAAAATAAGTTGGTAAATATTTTCAGGTTGCCTTGCACCCCTTTGTAATTAATCATATTTTTATGTAAAGCAAAATATTTGATCATGATTTCTTAGCATTGCCTCCCTCGACTTCAGCAAATGTACTGACTTAATAAGTGCTGTGGGATGAAACAAAAAAAAATTGGCAATCAGTTAGCAAATAGTGTGATTTCATTGCCATTTACATCTTGTAAAAAATTTAAATGGACAGGATATTAAACATTGAAAAGTGGCTGCAATTACTTTTGGGGTAATTTTGTAAGGGTTTTTTGTTCTACTTTCCAATCTGTTTCATAATGAAAATACGCACAGAAGGAATCATTTTAAGTTACTGAAAAATAAACAATATTGCTGATGGTGAAAAGTTAGAAGGACTCAACAAAGAAGGAATAAACTGATTATTTTTTCGGTTTCTTTGATATATCACTTGATCTTTAAGCTCCACAATGTTTGGAACCGAAAGGAGAACCTTGCCCTCAAGGTTGATGGATCTGACAATAGGTGATGGAGAAGACCTCTGGCTGAGATCCTGGACAGCTGCTGGCAGTTATCTAATCCTGGGCAAGATATAGCCTGACCAAGTAAAGGACAAATTCCCAATCATGCAGAGATACAGCAGGAAGTGTCTTCAACAAGTGAATATTTGGACTGTACATGAGCATGTTATTTTATAATATTGAAGCCTAAGCAGAGAATTCGGGAATTGCTGCCCAAGCGTTGTGCAAACTGGAACAAATTGCAAAAGCTTGATTATCAAGCAAAAACAGTTTTGTAGCACAAAGCTCTTTCATAAAAGTTTCAGACCCTAGCAAAATGAAACACAGTATTATGCTTTAAGCCTGTAAAAGGGTTTCGTGTTGGCCAGAAAATGAAGGTCTGGGATGCAGAGAAGCTTTTCCAATTGCATTTGGAACAGGTGTCCATAGCAAAGCTGTGGAAACAGAAAAGCAGGCACCAGGAATTCCCAGGCTTTGAAAGAAGTGTGCAGCATGAGACCATGGGATGTCCAGCACAGAGGCTGTATCAGAAATGAAAGAGAAGTGATATTCTCTGAGGTGTTTTTTTTTTAATGCAATCTAATCCAAATTAACAAATTTGTAACAGGGATTTAATGTAGGTAGACCTCCAAAAACTAAGAGGCCTTTTAAATTTCAGAACAATGATTCTGCCTGAAATAATTAAGAAAATGTGAATTGTGCTGTAAACTTGAGGCTATGTGTTCTCTAGAGGTCTTTTTCTGATTTAAGACAATTCCTAAACTCAGAATAAGTTATGTTAGATAAGTAAGTAGAATTCCTGTTAATTTTTCTGTCAAGTTTTTTAAATATATGAAATTTGTTAGCCAAGGTTTAGAATAACAAAAGAAAATATCCATTATGAGGAAACTGGTGGGAAGTATTTTTAAAGACAAAATAACCGAACATAGAGAAGAATAAGCCTTACTGAAGCAGAGCCAGCTGGCTTCTGCAAGGGCAAGTCCTGTATCACTAACCTGTTAGAGCTTTTTGAAAGTGTAAACAACCATATAGATAGGGGAGATCCAGTTGATATTGTGTATCTGGACTCTGGAAAAGTTTTTGACAAAACACATCACCAAAGACTTCAGGGCAGTCATGGGATAAGAGACAGGGTCCTCTTCTGGATCAGAAACTGGTTAAGAAATAGGAAGCCAAAAGTAAGGATAAATTGACAGTTTTTCCAGGGAGGGATGTGGAAAGTGGAACCTGTGTTTTCTAACTTGTTTATTAACAACCCACAGTTATAAATAAACTGTGAGGTGGCCAAGTTTGCGGAATTGTTCAGGGTGATTAAAACAAAAATGGATTGTGAATAGCTCCAAAAGGATCAGAGTTTTATCCATGTGGCTACTTTTTCTCATCTAGGTTGCTGCACACCAAGCCATCTGCCTTTCCAGCCTCATTTGATGCTTGCTGGGTTGGTTTGTTCCCAAGCTTGCCTCTGGAACCATCCACCACTCCTGCCTTCTGTTTCTTTCTCATTCCTAGCCTTATTCTTTCCAGTCTTTCTTCCTCTCAATCTGACTCTCCCCAAGCAGTGTTCAGACTGAGGGGCTGCTCCACCTGCTCACTCCTCTCACTCACAGCTGTGTCTCATTTGGAGGTTTGAGCTGAGATGCAGCTTCCAGGTGTTGGGTATGAAATCCTTCTGTAGCTTCTATGGTTTGTGTTTGGCTTACCCTCCACCCTGATACAGAGGAAGAAAAGTGTTGTGCCAGAGAGAACATCTGCCTGCTCAAATTTTGCTTCACAAATTACTGACTAGCAGTGGTTTTCCAGAGGTCCAGGTAAGTCTTTCCTATAACTTGCTCCCTTTTTCCTTTTTTAAAAAAGGAACAACGGAAAACGCCAGTGATCAAATCTGAGGTCTGTGTACAAAGCATGAGCTGTGGTCTGTTCCCTTAAGATGCATGTGAATAACGTTGAACAGTATGGAAGTGCTGCATAAATGCTAATGTTGATTATGATTATTTCTGTTATTATTTCTCACATGCTAATACTGTATTGTATTACACGTGGCCCTGCTGGCTCTTTGGGCCTGAAGCCAGAGTTTCTCAATGCTTGCTTCACTCGCAACTTGAGATAGCAACAATAGCAAGGGATGTGGAAACAGAAGGAAGTTCCAAGGTTTTCAGACTTTAAAATCTGGACTTAGGGGCATTATATTTTTGCCAGCAATATACTGGTACACGATGTTATTTCAAGTAAGAGCATTTTCTGATCCAGGGTGGTTCTATATGGAAAATGCCATGGAATTTGTCAGGAAAGGTCATAAATGAGTCATGCGTGCTCTAAGATACTCATTGTTAATCTGCTTGTTGAGAAGCAACATACTTGATACAGCCATAACTTAACCCTCCTGTTACATGTGGGAGAAGCTGTAAAATCTTAGGATGCTAATTGATTAAGTAAGATTCCTATTTTCTCAAACTTGCACAGATGGCAAAAACAGCAAAGGGAGCCAAGGGGAGATTAAATAAAGAGGCGTTTGATTTGTTATAGAATCATAGTCTCATAGAATTGCAGAGTTGGAAGGGACCCTGGGGTCATCTGCTCCAACCCCCAGCAGCCTTGCAAGGGAGTCTGTTCCACTGCTGAGCAGCTCTAACCACAAGAAAGTTCTTTCTGATGTTACACAGTTTTATGAGTCCATTCTGCAACCTTGAAAAAAGGACTGTATTATTGATTTCGTACTATTGGAACTTTACTTTAAAGAATCAACAATAAGCAATAAACAAACACAGGTCTTTTGTGGTCCATTTTGTGGAAGAGGCTTTTAGAGACAGAACAGGACAAGTGGGTAGAGTTATACAGTGGTACCTCGGGTTACAGACGCTTCAGGTGACAGACGCTTCAGGTTACAGACTCCGCTAACCCAGAAATAGTACCTCAGATTAAGAACTTTGCTTCAGGATGAGAACAGAAATTGTGCGGCGGCAGCAGGAGGCCCCATTAGCTAAAGTGGTGCTTCAGGTTAAGAACAGTTTCAGGTTAAGAACGGACCTCCAGGATGAATTAAGTTCTTAACCCAAGGTACCACTGTAGTCATTATCTGAGTGGTATCATCTGGAGTTTTGGAGTATGTTGTCAGCAACATGCTGATGACACACAACTCTAGTTCTCCTTTACATCTGCAGGTGTGGTAGTGGATGGTTACGGACAGGATGAGGGCCTACAAACTGAAGCTCAATCCAGATAAGACTGAGACACTGTTTGTTGGTAGTTCCCTAGACTGGACTGATGTGCGATGGCCTGCTTTTGATTGGGTTACACTCCCTCTGAAAGACCAGGTAAGCAGATTGGTGGTACTTCTGTATCCATAGCTGTTACTTGTGGCTTAGGGATCCTCAGCAGTGCAGAGTGTATTCCATTAGCGTTGGCTGGTGGTCCAGCTGCACCCCTATCTGGACAGGGATAGTTTAAGCACTGTTGCTTATGCTCTGATAACCTCCAGGTTAGATTACCTCAATGTATTATATGTAGGGCTGCCTCTGAAGATGGTTTGCAAAGCCTTTCGGGGGGGGGGAATAAATATATAAAAATAAATGTGTATTGTTCTTTGCCTCAGATAGCAAAATGTATTGGGCTGGCTCTAGACATGAAAGAGAAAAACTTGATACCTTCTGTAAACAAACAAAATATTGTGCTCTCCCCTCCAGTTTTCTCAGTTTCCCTCCTGTCTATCTATCTATTCCAGCAGGCTTGGCCTCCCATTTCAGAAAATGACTCTGTGTGCTTCGTTCCATTTAAGTGAATGGTTGCAGGCACCTGTCATCGTCTTGGGTTTTTAACTGTGTCTTCCAAAGAAACCTGCATGCATGTTTTCTGAACAGACTGATTCTACCACCATCAGAGATCAGAACTTTGAAAAGGGTCCTGAAGACATATGTCTTTTAAAAAAAACAACCACTCCTGAAGACAATTGCTTTTCCATCATGAACGGCGTAATGATTTTTCCAGGTTTCAGAAACCATTTAATTATATTAATATGTCTGGAGTTAAATGGTCAAGGAGAAACCCCTGTTTGGAGCATAACAACTGGTCTTAAAAAACATCAGGCAGGAATCTCAATTGCATATCACCTCATTTGAAAAGAATGTGAGAAGTTACAATCAAAGGTTTACATGAGTTGAGTATTGAGCCGTGGCTAACAACATCCTGATGATATATTCAAACAGGATTCCAGACACCACTTTATATTTTATGGCCGAGATACTCCAGATCAGACATTTATAAAGTTTGAATACATTTCCTTTTCTGACTTTCAGAAATATTTCAGAATGCAAAACAGGCTGTATTAAACTGGGTAACAAATGATCTCAAGGAGCCAGATGAAAGTATTTTGGATTAAGAGTCACATCTCATTGGTGTGTCACCACTGCTTCCTTTTCTTTCTTTTTAAAGCATTTTTATGTTAAGGAAAATTATGAAAAAAATGCACCGGAAAGTGTAGGAATACTTCCTTGGATGCAACATCATTTAACCTTCCAGGAAACTTTTCAATGTAAATGGTTTATATTGTAAGCCACCCTGTGATCCTGGGAGAAGGGTGGTATAGAAATTTAATAAAATAAAGTAAAATAATAAAATAGTCAATGCTATCTAATCTCCCTGCAAACAGATCAGGGTGGATGCTCAATAAATAGGTTGTCTGGAAGCTCCCCAAGTGTCATCTTTTTCTTCCTGATAAATGGTCTTTGAACAGTAAGCCAAGTAAAAACATGCCTTTTGTGCCAAACAGCAATGGGTATATGAATGAAATAATTACAGGACTCTGTAAAGAATTAATAATTCTGGCAGGATGGTTTGTACATTGGAGAACTGTCACTGAATTCACACACCCATATTCTTGCTAGAATACCAATTCTAGGAGGAGGAGGAGGGGTGAAGTGAAATATCAGCACTTTCCCTTTTCAAAAAGAGCTGTCAAAAATATTTTTTTGGCCTTCAAAGCAAAACTGGCACCATGTTGTAAGGGGGAGCAGGAAAAAAATCAATTACTACTTGACTCTCTTCTGATTTTTCTTTTCACCGAAAGCATGGCAGTTTTTAGCATCCAGACTTTGGCTCAAAGGGAAGGAAACAGTCAACAAGGAAACAACTTGTTTTAAGTGTTTTGCTGGTGAGATGGGTGGTGGTAATTAGTGGTTCTGGTTCTGGATGAAATCAATACAGTGGTACCTCGGGTTAAAAACTTAATTCGTTCTGGAGGTCTGTTCTTAACCTGAAACTGTTCTTAACCTGAGGTACCACTTTAGCTAATGGGGCCTCCCACTGCCACTGCATGATTTCTGTTCTCATCCTGAAACAAAGTTCTTAACCCGAGGTACTATTTCTGGGTTAGTGGAGTCTGTAACTTGAAGCATCTGTAACCCGAGGTACCACTGTACCTCCACAAAGAGTTCCCATTCTGTTTAAATCCTATAAAAGCATTATAGCCCCCAATTTCTGATGGGGCTCTTTAGGACTACTTTTTGGGGGGAGCAGTAAATAATCTAGATGAGGTCCTTGCTCAGGATGGGTCCCTGCACTTCACTATTCGTAAGGATTCTCCTGTGTTCAACCTGGTCATAGCTATTTACAGGCATTCTCAGTTTAAACTGTAATACATGTCCTGATTTTAACCTTTAACTGCTGGTGCATCACTGTGAAACAGATCTATTATTTGCAACAGAAAAAAAGATGAGGAAGTGTAACAGTTCTGCCCCCAAGCAAGCAAAACGAGAAGGTCAAATGTTTATGCAGAGATTGGCCTTGACAATCTTTGAGGTGGTCATTCAGAAGAACTGACATACAATTGGTGCTGTCTGCCATCTTTTCTCATCTGTGCCAACATGTATGAAATGCCATTCTTTCCCCATCTGCCTTATATCTATCAGCCAGTACATGATTATAAAAGAATAGGAAAGTCTTTTAGCATGGCATATTATTAATGGAAAGAGTTAGCTCCAAGTTTAGATTTGCCAGTTACCAAAGCTCAGTGATACCAAATAGTCTCTTTGAGTATAATCCAACAGATTTAGGTGTGTGCATGTTTTGTTGTTGTTGTTTTTAAATAAATAGGTTTAGGCTGCAAACCTGCATACACTTTCTTAAGAGTAAGTGACACTTTAACTCAGTTCAACGATCTGAGGAGACATGCTTAGGATTGCATTTTTAAGCACACCTGTCTAGTTGAATTGTGACATTTCTGGTTACTTTGTTGGGTTTAGATACTTTTAGACTTGAAGCCAAGGAAAGTTTTTTGTTTGTTTTAAAAAACTACGTTAATAAAGTGTGTCCTGATTTAGACCTTTCATATACAGTAATACTATCACAGAATCACAGACTTGGTACAACTTCAAATGTATTCTAGTCCAACTTCCTGTCAATGCAAGAAACTTCCCAATACAAAACAAAGAAACCCCAGTAGGTTGTAGGTTATATTAGGATTATCTCTTTTTTTACCCCAATGCCCACATTCTTCTAGGATCAGGAGCAGTTTATCAGATAAAGGCATTGAGAAAGGTTATTGGGGGACCTAATTGACCCCAAAGACATTTGGACTGAGGCAGTGGTAAAGAAGAGGAGAAACAATAGAAGATACACATTGTTCACAGGTAGAAGGAGGTGGGATTGACAAAGGGGAGCACCTTTTTTATCCACCCAGTGAATGGTAATTTGCTACTTGGGTTCTCCCTTAATTACACTCTCCTGCCAATATTAACTACTATTGCTGACTTTTCCAGATAAGTCACATTGCTCTCCTGAAATCTAGCTATATTCCAACTGGATACATCCTTTCCATCCCAAGATTTGGGGATTGTATCTACCTAGAAAACTTGGGGAAGGATGTTGGACTCTTCCTTTTTGTGGTAACTCGGAGGGTGGAGGTGGAAATTCAGTGAAGTTCTCATTTAAAGGTGAGCTTACCAAATTCACACTTTCTGAAACAATACACAGATTGAAACACAGCCATCCTTCAAAATTCAAAGTGCTCTGAATGTTGTAATGCAGTTTGCCAGAAATGTAATGTGTACAAAAATGCATATATGGGGGTAAAGTGTGCAGAAAAATGCAGTTAAAATAATATGCAAAGATGCATTGTATTAGGGTAAATCGTTTTGTAAAAGAATGTACAGTAGACAAAATGTGCACCAAAATGTGTATATTAGAACTTTTCAATAAAATGATGAGTTTTCATAAGGATTTTTAAAAATTGCTTATTGCTGCAGAAACATGGAGAATAGAAACAGAGAAGTGAAACTGACAGATCTAACCAACCCCTAGTGGCAACTGTTAATATTTTAAGTATTTCTAATTTTATTTTTGTTTTCTAAAAGCTAGGGGTTTGTGGCAGTTAATTACATGTTCACCTTGAACCCCTGTATAGCTAAAGTGGGGGGCAGGGGTTTTTCTTGATTTTTCTATTTCTTGTGATTTCATTGCCTACTGTTTCTTGAATCATGACAGCTTACTGGACTTTAGTGTGTGTGTTAGTGTGTTAGAGTATTATTATTATTTATTATTTTCTGTTCATTGTTTAAAGGCCTTCAAGCTGAAAAAAGCAGCATATAACTAAATAAATGAATGAATATATAAATAAAGGTAGTAGCCAATGAAGTTTTACTCAGAACAGACCCATTGACATCATCAGTGGGCTAATGTACACATGCCCATTTATTTCAATGGGCCTACTTAGAATAGAATTTAGTTGAATACAATCCAATAATAATAATAATAATAATAATAATAATAATAATAATTTTCAAGCCTCAAGGCTGCTGTGTGAGGCGGCTGCTGCTGTGTGTGGTTTGAGTAGCATGAAGAGGTTTGGATGAGTTTGGTTGTTGCTGAGAGGGAACAAGGAATCCTTTTGTAGACAATTCTTGGTGAATGGTGGCATGCATCACCTTGCCTCTTGCAGCTGCAAGTGACGGGGCCAAGTGGTTAGTTTATTAGGACTGAATTTAAGTCTTGATGAATGAATAGCTGTGGCTTGTAGCTATTGCTATGAGCTTGTCCCTGACCTGTGCAGCTCATTATAAGCTCAAGGACAGGCTCATTCTCTTTTGAACATCTTGATAGTCCAAGGAATTACACTATTCTCCTCTGCAGTGTTGGCTTATCCATAGATCAAATAGGTTGGGTGCCTTTGCTACTATTGCTTAAAGGAATCCCCAGCAGCCAGTTCATCATATATATCATTCGCTTCCATTGCTGTTGCCCATTCCCAGCTTTACAGCCTGGGCTGCCATTTTGGTTGATATGTAGAAGGAATAAGCTGGGATTTGTTGAGGCAGAGACTGGTGTTGGCATACCATTGGGAGAAGAGGAGGCAGCATAGCCAAGCACAGGGCGGGATGAGGAGAGAAAGGGAATTAAATATGAATAGCAGCACATGTTTGGATAGTTCAGTTAGTTAGAGTGTGATGTTGATGATGCCAAGGTTGCAGGTTCAATCCCCGTATAGGACAGCTGCATATTCCTGCATTGCAAGGGGTTAGACTTCCTTAACCTCAGGGTCTCTTTCAACTCTGTGATTTTGTGTTTCTGTGTTAAAGCGATGCAGTGTGCCTACTCTGAAGGGATGGATGAATAGAATAATCTGAATTTAAAAACTCAGAGGAGTATAGGGAACAAATTTGCACTTTCCAAAACAATACATGAACAGAAACTGTCATCCTTCAATATTTTCACCTCTCTGAATTTTGGAATGCTGTTTAGCAAGCTAATGTTTACATAAACGCATGTACGAGGGGTAAAGCATGCATAAAAATGCATTTGTTTGTGATAAATAACATACAAAAGCACATTACATTAGGGGAAATAAGACTGGGGGGAAAATGAAATTTACGGATTCGCCCATCCCTATATGGGTGTAGGTACGAGCAGCATGTCTAGGCTAGGCATTGTGGACTCTCCTTCATTGGCAACTGTAAAGTAGAGGTTGGAAGGCCATTTGTCATGGATGCTTCAGTTGAGATTCCTGCATTGTTCAGGACACAAACAATTCTGCCCTTCACAGTACACACACACACACACACACACACACACACACACACATAGACTGCCAGAAAAAAATATTGAGAAAGTCCTTTATTTAATGAGGCAAGTGCTCCTTTTTTTTTTTTTTTTAAAGGTTCTCCTCAGTCTATACTGCGATGAGTACATAATTGGGCTGGCCTTGAAAATGGCTGTCAGTATGTTTATAAATCATCGTTTTAAAATTACATGAAAGGTCTATGCCCTGTCTTTGTTGGGAGAGACAGCTGTACAGTCCTAAAAAAATAAGCAAGGGCTTTTGTTTATTTTTCTTAAGAGTTACTCAGCAGAAAATGAACATTCTGTTCTCTTAATCTAAGGCCAGAGATTCTTCATCCTCCTGTTCTACTGTCAGGTGGGGATTTGCAGGATTTAAAAGGTTGTCATAATACACAGTTGAAGCTCCTTCCAATGGTTAATATCTAACCTGAAAAGAACCGGGTCCCAAATCTGCTAGGATGAAATGTGCCTTTTCTTAGAAGCCCTACATCTAATCCCGAATGTGTTGGGGCTTATTCTGATTACTCACTGATGAAAGAAGGGCTCCTTTAGACCCACGTCACTCGATGATTAAGCTAAACATAAACTACAAGGATAACCCTCAGAATTCTTTTTAAAAAATGGCTCCAGGACTTTGCCCAGATTTGCCTGAATCCTTGGCTCTTCCCCTCTGAATATTTTCGTGCATGTTGACAGGTAGATCAGGCTCACTGCTTCAGACCTTCCTTCCCATTGCAGAGAGTTGTTGGTGGGGCTTGGGTAACAGGCACAGCCCTACTGTCTTCATCAGAGGATTGTGAATTGTGTGAGGGTTAACACTTTCAGTAGGGGTGTTCAATGATGATCTCTCATCTTGAGATCAGAGAGAGAAGTGTGAGGAAACAGAAGATGTAGAGAGGATGCAGCCTAAGACATATCAGTCTAAACTTTAATGGCTAGAGAGGTCAGCATGGAGGTAGTCTGGGGATCCTGAGGTCACCTGAACTATCTGTTTTAACCCCATGCAAACCCCTTTCAGTGAGCTGAGTTGCACCCAAATGTCCAGCAAAAAAAAAAAAAGGTTATAACATTTCAAAATCTATATTACATATCTTTTTTAAAAATACAATACTTAAAACGAATGTAAATACAGAAATTTTGTATCTGTAGTCAACTGTGCTTATGTTCAGTTCCGCCTTTACTGCATTCAGTTCCCATGTTTATATATATATATTAAGTGTGTTTGGTTACAATCTTGGTGGCTATATACATTTAGTTAATGGTATTTATAGTATTATTCTGTATTTTTCTATGCATAATAATATGTGGACTTGTGTGCACGTGTGTGTGCACAATACAAGGGTCTACATAATTTTCTTGCCCATTGGGAATTTTTTTATACAGTAGACTTCCACAATGCATGTTGGAGTAATACCTTTATTAGGCCAACCGGAATCTCACATGTATGCAAGATTTTGAGTTCTCAGGAACTTATGATCAAGCTAAATGGTAAGCAAAACAAATGCAGGGAGAGGGGATAAAACCCTTGTCTAACACCCAGAGTCTACATCTGGTAAGAATCTTAAGGAAGAAAGGTTAGAGGAAGTAGCAGACATTGTTTTAGTTGCTATGCACGTATCAGGTTGCACCATGGCCTTTTGGGAAGAAGAAACATAACAATGGCTGATTCTCTGCCTCTGGAATTACAACAGTCAGCTGTTGCTGAATTTTGTCTCCATCATTAGGCAAAACACACAGGTTCCTTGGTAGGTACAAAACAAAGTGAAACTAAGCAGTCTTTCTATCAACAGCAGTAGAATTGTATCTTAGGCAGTGTGCTAGATTAAACCAAATTGGCAGCATAAATTCAAGGGACTGATCCCTCAAAGTTCCTTTTCAGGTAGTATAAGACCCTCTTCCTCCATGTTAGGCTCATGCTGTTGCACAGCTAAATTCAGTATTTTCCTACTCATTCAGAAAGTAAACATAGTTGTGTTGGCCCATAATGATAATTCCCAAATCCATATAACAGAAATACCTTTGTAAGGCCAACCGAATTATTGCAAAAGAATGTGAACATGTTATTGATCAGGTTAGATTGGTGATTCCCAAAGTGGGTGGTACTGCCCCCTGTGGGGTGGTAGGATTGCCTAAGGGGCAAGGGAATGGCAGGGGGCACAAGAGGTGTAAATGATTACCAGACTTTGAAAAGCTGCTATCACTAGATTAAGTTCATCAGTGTTGTTGAATTAATCAAACTAAATAGTTTTAATTGAATTTTAATTAAATGTGCAATTAAATGTAACTGTTCTGAATTTTATTGTGTATGGGTCATGCAAACCACTGTTCTGAATAATGCTTTTTATAGGGTAGGGGCATTGGGGATGAGTTCATGGAACTAGCGGGGCTGTGGCATTTGGGAACCACTGGGTTAGATGGTAAACAAAGCCAGGGAAGATTGAATCAAGTGGGTGGATGTACATACACACACACACACACACACACACACACACAACACAGAACAACCCACAGAAGGAAAACACCAGTCAACCCACAATCAACCTATATATCTTCATCCCAACGTATCTTTCCATGGTTTCCTGGTGAGCGATATTTTTTTGTTACCACATAATGAATAAAACAAGATCAAGTAGCTGTCAATTGGTTTGTTTTTCCAACATGCACAAAGATGGTGTGTTAATTTCCCAGGGTCCACAACTAGTGGTGTCTCCAGATTATTAGATCAATGGTCAGGGATCTCCAGTATTGTCATAGAATAAACAACAAGTTATTTGTGCATTAAATCTCAGGCCTCCAAATCAAAAATGGACAAGAGAGAGATTTTCATTGCATATCAAGTTTCGCAATTAATTGCCGCAATCTGGAAATATAACTCCACCTGTGCAAGTGGGACTGTCCCATTGGTGGCTGTAGCAACATAAGTGCCTGGATGTGTTCACCTCCCTCACTTCCCTTTTTTTAAAAAAAAATTACCCATGGGGTAAACTCTTATATATGTCAGTCTCTAGATAACAGCTCTTGAGATAAAATAGAATGTTTTGCTTACTGCCGTAAAGATACAGACCAATGGTTCTTAAAAGGTTTTACTAGAGGGGACCTGTCCACAGAACTGTATCTTTAATTGGATTCCACCTGTTGGTTGGTTCCAATCCTGAGACCAAATTAAAACCATCTACCATATCGAAACTATTTGGAATTCATGATGCAGAGAGTGTGGATAATCCACCATGAACTCCTCCTGCACATGTTCCACTGAAATGAACTGGGCATGCAACTGAGCAGAGATGTGCTTTCACATGATTCCTGTTAATTTGGATATCTTTCCCTGTGACAAAGCCCCGGTGAATTCCTTCCATCATGGATTCCCAAATGGGTTGCAAATTATAGATTGTGTTTATAGATCCATTTTTCTTCCCCCTTGGGCAGAAGGGATGAATCACATACGTTTCCTTGGACCCAGCCAGAAGAATTGTGGACTGGGGGCCTGGTTTAGTTCGGCTATTTTTTGCTTACCGGATCAAAAGAAATCTGATTCCCTTGGAGCTTAATTGGACCAAAATAGTGCTGGAAATCCTCTGTGCCTCCCTGGGGTAGAAGAACTGGTCCAGCAAATTGTGTAACATGGCATCTTTTGAAAGAGCAACATATCAAAGTATTGGGAAGTACTTTGAGACCATAATGCCACTGGGCTCTTATTTTTAGAACTGGTGAACTGACAGCTATGAGGTGATGTTGTGCAATGGGAGATGCAGTGAAACAGCACTGGTCAGTCTTGGCCATATGATGAAAATGTTCTGCCTCTGTGTAGGGACTTTTTATGCTCTGCAAGATGTATTCTCTTAAATCCTTCTTCTTTGTTTTTGTTTAGCAAACTGCTATTCTGAACAATGCTTTTCAGGCAATTATCCTACTGATATTTTCAGGTTAAAAAGTAAGTTTGCAGTTCTCAAGAAGGCAAGGAGATTCTCTAACAGCAATCCTAAATGTGTTTCGAAGGATATCCCAGTGATGCTTCAAAGCAAAAAGGGGGGAAAGCTGGATATTGGGTGTCCAATATTTACATGTCAAATGTATTACATAAAAGATTTTCACAAAGGCAATAGTTTTGCTATATTTGAGCAATTTTGTGCTTTCAGAGTTCTTGCTTTTTTTCTTCTTAAAAAACAACAACAAACCCTTCTAGCTTTAAATATCTGTATGGGGTGGGGGAGTTCTGTACAACAGTGACCTGGGTTGAAATGCAAAAGGAAATGGTGAGTTCCTGCTTTCATGCGCCAATGCAGATGAAATACAACTGACATGTTTTTCTAAGTGCAGAGGCATAGAAACCTAAGATTTTGCCTAACCTCATTCTGAGTGGAAACGCAAAATCAAAGCGAAAAATAAATATTCATTGCCAAAGATTTCTGTGAAGCTCAAGATTCATTTCCCC